ATGTACCCCTCTCCCCGTTATATATAACACAACATAGGGAAAAATTAGGGAAAATAAACAAGTTCTGTAAGTAGTAAACACAGTTTTAAACTTTAAGTGAAAATGTGGGCCTTGCTAAATCTCTTGCTGGCAATGAACTTGTCAAACAACTATGAAATAACTATGTATATAACGCAATGTATATATTCATGTATGTATACATATACCTTTACAGATCACGTACCTTAAATACAAATACAACCTACTTTCTGTATTTGGACGGAACGTACATTGCCAAACACATTGTCAATTGCGAGTAGTGCCTTAATATCGTATTTCGTACTAGAATTAAACACAGCGTCAAACAATGTAAGAGCGGGGGGGAGGCAGGTCGTTAGCAACGTGTCGCAACGGGACAAATTGTTGGAAACACTGCTCAAACTTGAATCATGTTGTGATGGGAAAGCAAGGTCAGTTAACGGGCTCAACACTGCTTTCAGTCTAACTTGCACCTGCTCTTTTGCAGTCCTCTTGCCCTATGCTGCGCAAACCTTTGTAAAGCTGGAGTCACATTTAAAACAGGGCCTGCTCGGCATGTTCTCGGTTTGTTAAAAATACGTATTTATATAAGAGTTTGGACATAACTATGTTTAAAATGGAGGGACAGGCTTACGCTAGGGGTAGTATGCTTTTGTTTCAACTGGCACATAACCATGTTTAAGATGGGGGAAGAGGTTAACGCTGGGGGTACGACGCTTTGGTTTCAACTGGCACATAAACATGTTTAAGATGGGGGGAGAGGTTTGCGATGTTTTCACACGAAATTTGTTAGGTATGATAAAATCCCCTATGTCATGCACTTGTCGTGTATTTAAAATTCTCCTTTTGAAAGCAGCATCGCAGACATATTTACGTCAATTTAAGGTATCTTTTTAGAAACGATTTCGCACAAAAATAATGCCATCTGTGGAAGAATGTTTTGTGGGATAGGGTTAAGAATGAACCAACGTTTTATTTCATGATATGCAAATAAATCTTGCATCAACATAATCTATCTCTAACGATGTCAACCTTTAGCTAAATTACACATTGGGGACGGTGGTCATTTTGCCCATGATAAGAAATAATATTGTATTAAAATTTATGCATATTTGGTGGTTTCTTGCATAAGTTGTATATTTTGATGTTACTTGTCATAGATTACACATCTTACATGTAAGAAAAGTCTTCATTTAATATGCGATTTAAGTCCTCATTTACATTATTCGCATTTAAAAAGCACAATCCATTAGGACTTTTAATAGTTATTATGACCACAATTATGCGTTTACATACACATATAAGCACACACAGATACACAAACCGTATTCATTTCCTTCATTTTCATAATTTGGTAATAAGACGATGGAGAGCCCATCTTTCCTACACCAGGTATAACCTGCCCCATTAACTATTTACCACCCAAAAATTGCGACCACAGCAAACTTGTATTCAACACAAGATATCAAAGAGTAATGCAGCAATCCGACAGCAAGCACAGAATCAAATACCAGAATGCGTCTAATCAAACTTGATCATTCTCGTCACCACCACAGCAAATGCAACAAAAATATATCCAACACACCTTCTTTTACATAACAACATACAGTACTTACCCTCGCAGATAACCCATGACCTACTGGGGTAAGGTAAATATACACTTAGAGGTCATGTTTTCGGGTCATTGGCCGCCAATAGCACCACCCACAGACGCCTGGCCTGCAACAGTCGGGGGTAAATCGGTGAGGATTTTTCACATGGGGGAGGGGGGCGGCGCTGTCACATGTACTGTTTAAATCCTTTGTCCTAGCAAATATTTTTGCATGTCATTGATTTCGTCTTCTTTGTAGTTCCTTAGCTTGTCGTGTACGTTTTACCAGTGATTCTTGTCGCTATCCACCACCACTTATATAAGTTTTAAGGTCATGCTTTGTTCGTAAATATCAGCATGGTAAACAAAATCTTGTTTACAACCTTTGCTATGTTGTATGAGATCTTTGCTGTTTCACATGTCCACGGTGACAACTATTAACAGTTAACACAGCTCGTTTGTATGCTTCCATTTAACCATTTGGTACATTGGATGCCACCATTCACGGTACTAGTAAGAATTTAAACTATTAGCCTAAGGCAAAATGTCAAGGCTATTACAGACTAAGTGACTATACTCCCTACAGTGTTGGGTTGGCTTTCGTGGACTATGAAACTGGCAGTATTTGGAGCCAGTGGCTCTACAGGTAAGGGTTACTATCTCTCTCATTATCCTTAGAAATTTGTGTCAGTTGCAGTGAATTAAGATTCTTACATTAAAGCTAAACATAAATAAAACTTTCATAATTTTGCCGGTCACGAACCACTGTAGATGGATCATATTTAAAAAAAAAGTCCTTCTATTTACTAACCAGAAATACAATCTAGGCCTTACCCCGCTTTATGCCCGATATTCATATAGGTGTGGAGCTTGTAAAACAGGCACTAGCCCAAGGTCATGACGTCACTGCCCTGGTGAGAGACCCTGACAAGATGGCGGGACTGGTGCCAAATAAGGACCTCAAGGTTGGCTTCTTAGTGAATCTGTTTTTGTCACGGATATCAGGACAAAAAGTGGTTTAAGTTAGTCAGTTAGTTTAGACAACTATTTTTAAACTGTAACCTTTCGTTATATGTTATATATTTTGTTTATATATTTTTTTATATATTTTGTTTAGCATATTTTGTTTATAGACATTGATATGCAAATTCAGTTCCATTATTATTATTATTTACATCACTTGTCATATGTATTTGATTAGTCTGTTGTTGACATCTTGAAGAGGTGATAGTCACCTGTTACGTCAACCCTTCCACAAATGTGGTAAATCTTCATTAAAAAACTAACTACAATGACGTATGTAGTTAACAATGTTTGCAAGCATTTGTTTCTGTATATTTTTCACAGATTGAGAAGATAGACCTTTCCTCTGCTGATACTGTAGAACCTCATCTGCAGGAGAAAGATGCCGTCATTTCCTGCCTTGGAAGTATGTAAACATGCCATCAAATTTCATTACTTATCTATTTTGTAAATTAGAAATATTAAAAAAGGGTTTTTTGAGGCTTGAATGTTTAAAAACATGACGATAAATGTCTGAGGTGTGTGCGTCTGTTTGTGCCTGTGTATGTGTTTGTACCTATGCATGTCCGTTCCTCTTTGTGTGTGTGTATGTGTGTGTTTGTGTGTGTGTGTGTATATGTGTGTTTGTGTGTGTGTGTGTGTGTGTGTGTGTGTGTATGTGTGTGTGTGAGTCCTGTAAAGTAGACTGTAACTGTCATTAATATTTACTGTATTATCGCATTTAATATTAGTGTTGGTAAAATAGCGGAGTAAGTTAAGTCACAGTATCACATGGTGTTGTGCAAGTGGATCGCACATTACAGTTACTGTTCTCTATTTTGTAGGTTATGCCCTGTTTGGATCCGTCACGCTTTATACAGACTCCATGGAGGTCATTGTCACTGCTATGAGGAAGAACAACGTCAAACGTCTGGTCTGTATAACATCTTGGTACACCACAGGTAAGTCAATTTTATATACAACTTTTTCTTCAATCATTGTTGACATCAACATAACTACGTGGATATCAGTTCCTTGTCTCATTGTATGAAAACCGTTATAATATGCAGAATATATACCACAAATTACAACACAAATAATATTATCTATATAATTTGAAGAGCAAAAATTGTGTTTTAATGTATTGATCCATTGATGTTTACCCCTTTTATAACCTAGTTTAAAATATCTTGTAAATGTAATTATTTAATATAGCTTAAACCATACAATCTAGTCAATTTAATATGTCAATACTAGACTAGAGTAGATGGGGATGTGTTGGTTGACAGTAGGTTTGTACAATTTGAAACAAAATCTCTGTAGCAAAGTGAAACATTTTCGTTTACATCCCAATATCCATACAGCCGTAATTTTTCCAACATCCTCTAACTTTGACGTACCCTCTTTTGAAATATTTGGAACATGTGCGTCAAAACACAATCCATCACTGTTTTACTTGATAGCAAAGTAATTTAGAAAAATCTAAGTCCCTTGCAACGGTCCACACAAAAAAGCTAAGGTCGATAGTTTTTTTGAAGGGTCGGTCGGGGAGCAGGAAACACAACAATTTTCCTTAGGCCGAAATGCCTTTATCTTTCTTTAAACAGATACTCCATTAGATCCGGCACCTTTCCTTATCCGCTGGGTTATCAATCCGTTGTTCCTGGGACGGGTTCTGACAAACATGGCGCAGATGGAAGAGTTTCTTCAGGGATGTGAAGACATTGACTTTACCGTTGTCAGACCGCCAATGTTAACAACGGGATCAGTCACAGGTATGATCTGTATGTTTTGTGTTTTTTTTTTCTTAAGTTTTTTCTCTGACCAATATTTCAGAAAACAAGGAGGTAAGATCTAAGCTAATGAATAGAAAAGAACAACTTGATAAAATGTTCCGATTGCCCGATTCCATGGGTGCTTTTATCATATTTTTCAGATATAAACATAGAAATCGGTTAATAATGACTCACTATATTTACTTAAACTTAACTAGTAGCGACGGCCAGTTTTTTTTTTTTTTTTTTTACTTCTTGGACACAAGTTTTGCGGGGGTTTAGTAGGATTCGGTATCTTTTTACAAGCAGCAACGATTGGAGTTTAGTGGGCGAAGATGGGTTTCAGTTGATTGACAGGTTTTCGACCTAGTGTACAAACTGGTTAGATGTGGTATGACGTCTGCGTAATTGTCGTGTAAAACACAAACTCGTTCTATTACCGGAGAAATTACGACATGCTATTGTGAGTAATTCTTTTAATGATGTTATTCAATTTAATACCATATATTAAAATTACAGTCATAAAAGAATAAAAACACTCTCAAATCTCTAATGTCTTGTTTACTTAAACTGAATTGTTGTGACCTGCATGTATTTTGTTTTTTTTTTTCTTGTTTTTTTTCAGACATGGAATTCAACACTGAAGAAGGGCAACAGGTGCATGATAGAGGTGGGATGAGAGGGATGCGACATGCAGATGTGGCCCGGTGTGTTTAAAATTTACTTAATAATAAAATATGATATGAGGGCTCTTTAAAGTTTGCCCTGAACCGCCTTTAAGCACATGAAGTCCTTATGCCATCAATGACAACATAAATAAGTTTTATTCAATAGATTAAAAAAATACAAAGTGCACACAAGTTTGATGTTAAGGACACCAAACATTATAAACCATACTTTATTTTCCCTAGAGCTCGCTGCCATTGAACACAGTAGAGCATCCTCACTAGGTAGCTTTAGGCAATATCAATTTTACACAAAAATTCAATCTTTTGAATGTGCGGAAATTTACTTCTTTTTTCACCATAGATTTATGCTGTCCATCTTATCATCTGAGGAATGGATGAGGAAATGTGTGGCTGTCATTGCTGTTCCTAGGAAGTAGTGGTCAGCAATAGTCACAATCTTTAATCAAGTAGTAGCAGTATTAGACTGGTTTATTAGATCTTCGCACAAGACATACATGCCTCCTGACGTCCGTGGAGGGCTGAATTATGAGGCTATTTACAGAGGTGTCAGTCTAAAAATGATTATACATTTACAGTTATGACCATTACAATACAATGTTAAAATTTGCTTGATCTAATTTATTCTCGGAATCACACATACACACACAAAAACAAAAATTATTGAATGATTTTGGTAATGGGAAATATTCATATCACATAGATACATATGTATTTAACAGCTGTGTATGTATATCTTTTTATTGCACTAACTTTAAAGTTACAGTAACATAACATTGCCCCTTATCATACAGTAAACATAACAAATCATAGAACAACATCTAATTTTACTTTTCTGATAATTTCAACACATCGGTGCATCTACTGTAAAATCATTATGGTATATAGTACTAAGGACAAGGTCGGTTGTGTTCCGACTATTTATTTTTCCATCTTTTCGCTTTACTTTCTAGCTCCATCAAACAGACTTTGGACAACATTTGAAATCCAAATATATTTAGGAGCTGTTTCAATAAATTGTACATCATTAATTTGCAGTGATTATGCTTTAGAAAGATAATTTGAATCTCAAAAATCAGGTTCTGGTAAGTAGGCAAATGAAAATAAATTAATAAATTTTTAGCAATTTAGCTAAGTTGGTAGGATTTGACATAAACCTCAATGATCTCTCTGATGATGTTTATTTTATTTATCCCTTAGAGGTTCTGTATCACTATCATATCCAAATAACTTAAAATTTTTACTTTCTGTTCAATCATTTATAACGGAAACTAAAAGATTTGAGTAGTTCTTTCCTATCAATTTTGTAAGTTTTGCCTGGAGTATTTTACACATTGTAACCTTATTTATTCTATTCTGTTATTATTAAGCTTTGCATTTTGTTTTTGCATTTGCTTTTGTAGTTTTGTAATGTTAGATGGGGACATGAACATATTAAGCTTCGGCTTGAGTGTGTCGTCATCCTGTCCACTTTGCTTCTAAATGTTTTAATAAAGAAAAAATAAGTAAATTATTGCCTTCATAATTTATATTCACTAATTGGTGATAAAATAATGATATAAGGGATGAAAATGACACTTTTACTTAGTTGGTTCCAATTACATAACTATAACGGGGTTCTAAACATCTAGCACTATGCACATGAGGAGAAATAGCCTCAAAAAGCAATAATTTTTCCCTCGTAAACAACTGTAACTTAAAGAAAGCTATTTCTACTGGGAATCATAGTGAGTAAAGTGGCTTGCACTGGTGTGTGCACAGCACCTAAAACTTACACTGCACCAACTTGCACAATCATACACATGGCATTTCAAGCCCTTTTGTTTCCATAACTGTTGATCTGAATTGGACAATAATAGACATTCCATGTTCTTATGTCATGCCCCGACACATTGTATATATAGGCCAATACATTTATAATGCCATGCAAAAAAAAATCTTAGAATAGCTGTATAAGCTAAGTAGAATCATTGTATACTTTGTCAAGTACATGTATATAGTGTAGCGTATCTTAGCATTTATATGTAGAATTGTAACATTCCTGGCAAGTAATTTAATCGACACTTTAGTAGTCTTACAACATGTTTTGTATAGGTACAAACTACTCACTGTTCCCTTCCTCACACAAGTATAGTTTGGCGTAATGTAGACCGTACGTACAGAGTTGAAATATTTTCTAGCCAGTAGTTATCTACAACATTTTTCAGACACAGTAACCGTTGACCATATTTGTAGTATTATGATAGTTCCATACCAACTAGTAACTTCATTATTTGCCATACATTGTACCCGTGACAATCGTTGTACAATAAACTTTGGCTTTGTCTTTGAAACAATGCTAAGTTAGACTGACTAAAGAATCGGGCCTGACCATGGTTCTGAATAAGGCACAGTTCTGGATACAAGCCCTGCTATGGCTCTTGTTTAGGCACAGTGTCCATCGGATCTTTTCCGTACAGTGCTGAGGGTCTGCTTCTGATATCCCGGGGCTGCCCTTCGGCTGGGCTGTACAGGGCATGAGATGGGCCATGTTCTCCAGAACCGATTGGCGGCAATCCATAGATCCTGCTCGCTGTTGGAATCACATCTTCTTCCCCTGCATTGTAAGGACCTTTGCCGAGACTTGTCGACGGTTTGCCATGTTCTGCTTTTTCATCCAGATACTCAGGCTCTATGTCGACGTCATCTTTTTCCAGTGGCTGGGCTTCTGATTGTCCGACGGGTGTTGACTGTTGGTCAGTGTTGTTTTTCAGTGGTGCAGAATCTACCTCTGCATCTCGTGGGGCGTCGGGACCACCTACGGCATACAGGGGGATCTGAATCTTGTCGTTTTGTGCCAGGTCTTCCTCAGTGGCCACTGCGTACGGCTTGATCCCTGTGTCAGGCCCTTCATTTTCAGCATAGGCCACTGCATATGGCTGAATGGTGTCGTTGTGCACCTGGTTTGGGGCAGCTGGGTCGGAGTGATTGTCTGTAGTGGAACTTTGCCTTTCAGAGGGCTGCAGTTCGGCAGGCTGTCCGTACACCACCGCATACGGCTCGATCCTCTCGGTCCCTTCTGTTTCGGAGTATTCGGTGTCATCCTCTGGTCCGTCGGAATTGGCCAAACCCGCACCACGCCAGCCTTTGTAGACGAAGATGGCAGCCACTAATGCCAACACTAGGAGAAGAGGCACAGCAACTGCACCGCTCATGGCCAGTAGATAGATGATGTTGTCTTTCCGGTGGGTGATTGCGTCTCCCCTTAGGATAACGACAATTTGGTCCACCTCTGTTGTGTGCTGAGAGACTGGCGTGTCATTTGAAGATTCTGTGTAGTCCTCATGGGTGGGAATTTTGTCATAGGTGGCGATTGTTTTGGTGATCACAAGGGTTGACGTTTTCTCATATTCCGTGGACTCAGTTGCCTCTGATCTTCTAGGATTGTTTGTGCTGACAAATGTTTCTTCTTCTGAATATACGTCTGTAACAGCCTGGCAGTTCCTAGTAGGTACAAATAATAGTAACCTTCCCTTCATTTCGGCAGGCGATGCACACATCAGAAAGTCGGCATCATGGATGAGGTTCAGAGCCTTCAAGCGTGACAGGTTGCACATAAACCCCATTAACTTCATGTCGCATTGCCACTTGTTACGGCTCACCCACAGACGTAGCTGCTTGTTTTGATGCAGACGATTGACATTGTTGTCAACCAGAGTGATGAGGTTACTTTGTAGGTTTACCCGTTTTAACACTGGCGGCAGCAGAAGTGCATCGACTGGCACCGAGGCCAGTTGGTTCTGTTCCAAATGCAGTGTTGTGAGGCGAGGCATGCCACGAAAAGCGCCTTTTGGGATGACAGAGATGGCATTGCTGTTGAGCTCCAGTTCCTCTAGGTTTTCAAGACCAAGGAACACGCCAGGCACTGCAGGTTAAGAAAAGACAGATATATTATAAAAAAACAGTAGAAAATGGAAGCAAACAAGATCTGGAATGATTTAATACAATCCACATAGGGAGTGAGTTTCTAACAAAGCATTTTGCCATACATAGAATATATTTTCTTGCTTTTGATGATGGTGATCACGTGGAAGTTAAAATACAGTACTAGTATTAATAAATCCATCTATTTTTTGTGGGAGAAGGAGAAATAAGGTTTGCGGTGTCTTAAGTTGTTAAACGAACTTTGTAATAATAATAATAGTTTATTGACCACACTCCAGGTACATGGCAGCGTATAAAATCGCTGAATTACGCATTCAAAAACAGACTTTAAAAATAGACGTCTTTAAACACAGAATAAACAATAAGGTCGGCTAAACAAACAAAGGACATTGACAAACTAGGTACAAACATAAACAAATACTGACTATAAACAGTTATAAGATAGTAAATGCTAATGGATTAAAAACAATGATGGTATTGGGAGATTTCAACTTGCTTGTTAATTTAAAAGGTCAAAGAAATAAGGGATTGGACTCGTTTTGTACCGCTTTGTTTTCGTCAAGAGAATGTCGAGCTGATTTGCCCCCTTCAGGCATCTGCCACGAATGTACATAGTGTAGCATTGCTTCTGAGAATGTGTATTTGTGATGTAATAGATTATGATTTCATGGTGGAGACCTGTCACATCAAAAATCGCAGGAAAAAACAGCAAAACATTCAAGCCGTTAACCCTATCTAGACGGGGGGGGGGGACTAAAAGTGTCCGCGCCAACTTTGATGTCGGATAGCGTCCGAACGGCGCGCGGTAGAACCACCAAACTTGGTGACTTTTCCTGAAATATTGTTTGGAACAATTTTATAATAAGTGGTATAAGATTATGATTTTTTGGTGTTGCAATGGCAACGGGTTTCTGGAGGGCATTTTTTGGTAATTTTAGGAATTTTCATTTTAACAATAGAATTTTATGGCTTTTATGTTAAAGTTACACATGATTTCTAATATTAATAATAGCTCATGCAATTTTAGGTAAATTTCATTATTAGAAATGCATAATTTATGCTAATTTGATGACGTCATTTGCCAAAATCCAAGTTATTTTCCTTAAAATTTCATTACTACTTCCATTTACTTTTACAAAAATGTTTATATGAACGTCGTTAGTGTTTTTTTCAATGTATTTTAGCTTTTATCTTGAGAAAAAACTATTTGTCAAAATTCAAGATTGATTATCAAAGATGGCGGAAATTCTAAATATGCATGACGTCATTTTATGACGTCACTGGTGTTGCTATAGGCAACGTAAGTTACATCCTAATACTCTATTATGTTGTTAAAGTTGCGTCGTATACCATTGAGTTTCCAGCGAATAACCTATCTATACGGTTGTGGTCATAATGGCGTCATATAACGTCATAACGACATAAAAATTGCAGTTATGACAGATTTTTACTAGTACACGATCCTCTAAAATTTGGTGGTCATACGATATACCGTTCACGAGTTTTGAGGGGGGTTCCCGGTCCCACCAAGCCAAAAAAACCCGGTCTAGATAGGATTAACGTACTAGCCATGTAATATTACTAGGGTATGTTCCCCTTTGATGACAAAACCTACAACGTTGCTCCAAAATTAACATCACGTTTACTCATACTTAATAGTTATATGACGGTAAATTTGTGTTCAGACAAATCAAGTCATGCTGCGTACAGGAAATGATTTACATCAAATCAAGTCACGTTCGGTGCAGAAAAAAATGATCACAACTTCCAAGTACCCGCAATTATTTATTCTCTGTATGATGTACTACCGTAACTGTAGGTTGTGTTCAGACAAGTTTAGACAGTGAGGGGCACACCCTAGTTTATTTTAGATTAATGATTCATTTCTCAATTCTAGCAACCATCTATCTGTAAATAATTTTGAAAATAAAACGACTGTGTTTGGAAATGAAGGATATCCCCCTATCTATGAAAACAATAGAATTTCATTTTCTTTAACCTCTCAAATTTTGGTAAAGTTTAGGGAGAAACAGGATCATTCGATGACAACTGATGCCTACATTGAGCCATTTTCACATGGCGTTAAAAACGAACTGTATGAACCCAGGGTCCACAATGACTCCACATACAACGAAATACTCCCCACTGTGGCTCTTTCAGCAGCTTGAATAGTGAATTGACCCCCATAATCACAAAAACTAATAAACAGCTCAGTCGCTCCAGCCACCAAAAACAATAGCAGGGACAGATTAGCATAATAACTGTCGATCAGATTCAAATATT